GCATCAGTGCAACTTTTGTGTATGGGGCATTTTCTTCTTCATGATCAGAATACATCAGCAACTATTCCAAACCTAGCCGTTTCTGTCAAGCTTGTGTCCAATCGGTTTCACTTATTTCAAGTACCGCCAAGCTGTATCTCCTCATTTTCGTTGTTGTTGATTGGTCCTACCAGTCTCACACTGTCTAAGGATTCTATGTACCTATGTTAATTGGTGTTCTGGTTGTAATTTGGGGAATCGACTCCATGACTTCTTGAGAATCAGAGCTTTTACCACGAGACGTCATGACAGTTCTACATGAAAACCCTTCGTCTAATATGGCAGAGTTCAAATGGTTTTCTACTAGTTGACGTTTTCCAGTAAAGTCGTCTTCAACGGAATGGGGTTACTGACCGCATGCCCAACCCTCACCTTTTATCCGGGCTTGGGACTGGCAGTAACTCTGGAGGAGCTACAAGCACATCACGCACTCTTAGTGACATACAAATTTTTAGATAAGGAAACTTCGGATAACTGGTTTAAGGACCGACAAAGCTGAAGCCTAACTCTTAGAGTCCAACACGTCACCATACCCGGATTACGTTTTTGGATCGGTCTAGAAGTTATCACGTATGTAACTAAGTGACAACTATCGTAAGATAGGTTTACCCCAGATTGCATCAAAACTGTTGATTTTGGTCAAGTTTTTCAGACTGTACAAAACTCAAGAAAGCAGGTTGATTTTTTATTTTTTGTCTGTATTCACCATACCTGTATCTCTAGCCAAATGGTAAAGTACTAACACATTTATTACAGGCCAGCAATCGTCGCATTTTTTGGTATTAGGATAGCTTTTGGTTCTTGGTACTGGACTGCATTTTGAAATTGTTTGTTTTTAAAAGATGTATTTAAGAATTTTATTGATATCTAGAAGTCTTTGTTAATATAAGCTTTAAGCATAATGATGATATCTAGACACATCCATCTACTGTTCCAGTTTAGAAGTGGAGTTAAGCAAAGTTTTGTGGTCACGCGATTCGCTCGTAGCTTCACTATCAATAGCTCTGTAAAGTAGCAAGATCAGTTTTGCCCGGGGTCTGTGAAGCTTCTTTCTCCGGACACGGTCAGAGGGTTAAGCCATGGGTTTTCGCGCACATGTTACATGTTATCGTGGACTTCGTATGTCGTTACTTATCATGTGTTAACAGCTTTTTTCCCGTCTCACATCAATTTTCGTAATGTTTTCGCATGTTCTCCGAGTTAACTATGTTTGGCGAATTTCCCTATCTGGTCACTGTTGTCCTGGGGGTATTTCCGACAGATGCTAGTAATGATCAGGCTATAGTTTCCACTTACATCACTTATAAAAGTGTTTCGAGGTAACTAACTGACTCTCGAGTCAAAAACGCTAGACACTGTGAACTGATGTAGTTGAGGAATAGTTCAAACATCCTGGTGTAAAACCATTTCTTATATTCAAAGCTGTAGAAGATGAATGTTTGATGGGCATAGAAAATAGGCTGACCTAGTTGTAACATCAATAAGTGAACGGAATTTCAGGAAACGTATTTACTTAGTTTCGAAAGGCGACAGTGAATAGGAGAGAAATAGTGTAAGACAATCAACTGACATGATTCGTTATACGATTCACAAATTAAATTGAAATTTTTAAGGGAGTGGAAAATATAGGGTCGTCATGAGGGTACAATTCGTAGGAGACTAAGGTTCCCGTAGTATTCAATATTTATTGGTGCAAGCCACTTGTCTAAACCCAGTACTGAATAGCAACCTCCAGTTCTTAGTCTGACAACCTACATGATATGCTATTCTAGAGCCTGTAGCGTGGCTTCGAGTTGGAATTAACTATGAACACCGCTACCACGAAACAAGTGCCAAATAAATCAGAAGGCGTAGGTTGAACGTAACCAAAGAAACCCATAAAATCCCCAAGAAGCCAAATACCAGAAGGCAAGTAATGGACCAAGTCGAGTTATATTTGCTGGCGATCTCGTGGCATCGAGAGGATACCGAGATCGTGCCAGGATACAACCTTGGTTACAGAAGGTAACCGAATTCGCGCGAAGTTACAATCGAAGTGTAAGTATAAGAATGGGAGCACAAAATAGCTGTCATTAGCACAGTCAAACAAAAGCACGTTAAAACAAACACTGGTACAGTTAGTTATAATAATAGTTGTTTTTATTAAACCAGTCGTGTTCTCGTGATAAATGTGATTCACTACAAGCTGTTCGTACAATTTCATCATTACCGAGGCGAGCCCACCATCAAATTCAACATGAAATTTTCTACTATCACTATTTTGTCTTATGACTGATGGCCGAAAGCACGTGGCAAAACCACCTATCAGAATCCTGATTTTTATGACTTAATGTCTCTAAGTCTATCAGTTACACGTTCAATCAGAACTAGTAACCTTGAGTCAACTGCTAAGTCTTTATCATTCCACGACTCTATGGCTACTCCCTACATTCTGGCCTTGAGTTCAGAGCTCAGTAACAAGCCTCAGTTATATTATATTCCAAGCAGACGCAGTTTATATACATGTACACCAGACCTCATCATACAACAAACTGAGAAATAATAATCATAAATGATCAATTCAAAAGTGACTGTGAGTAGGAAGGACTGTTAATAATAAACTGAGGACTTGCTATGAATAGTAAGTCATAAGGTGGTAGTTAACGGGTTGGTCTATAGCTTGTGATAAAAGAAATGTGTGTACATCGTAACTTATTCACTTTACAACCACATAATATGAATAAATATAATAAAAATAATCAATAAATTAATAAATTAATCTTGAAAGTTGTCGTTTCTTTAGTTTTCATTCTGAGATAACAAGGAACACCACCAACAAATCACATTCTCCAACATCAAAACCATAAGTAAGTCGAGCATCTCAGTACCTTAGACCATTTACATTAACCCATCACGACCAAGCTAAGCAAAGACGATAAATTGTCAGTCATCTTCCACAGGTCACATTCGTATACTGTGTTCTAGAAGACACTGAAACTTGGTTATCATTTGTACATTATTGGATATATGAGATAAAAATTCGTTGCAACCTCTTAATAGCTGAAAAGTTGGAGAAATCCATTCGGTGTTTGTCTTCCACAAAAGTGGTCACCTGAGTAACTTTGTCAAAACATTTCTGCTTAATTGACATACAGTCGAGAAATCGCCTCGGAAAACTAATGGCTCATATACGAAAAATCCTATAAGGATTTAAAAGTCCTTAGGAATCAATGTTCCCAACCAGCCAACACATTTACTTCATTCCGTTCGATGCAAAAAAAGACACAACTATGAAGGAAATCAAATGCAATATCACAAATGAAATAAATTGTATAAACTTTGAGAACTACTAGATTAAGCAAAGTGGGTTCCCTTTCACCTATGTATGCACTAGTATGGACTAGCAGAGAATAGATAATAATATGCTTCCATTTATATCAGTGCTTTTGGATCTGGATGCGCCATCTGAAAAAAGGCAACAAAGCTTGTTATCACATGTGCTTTTCTTTTTGAATAGTAGTAAATACCTTTGAATGGGACGTATTCTCCTTATTGTAATTCTTTATATTTGTATTCAGCTTTGATTTGTTTTATAGAGGTATGTGTTTTGTTTGTTTGACGTGAATAAATAAACTCTTCTCAGGTTTGTTAAAATATTGTCAGTTAAGTGACTAATATGGAATAATTCCTAACAATTTCCAACAGATAATGCAAAATAATAATAATAATAATTTGGGAAACTAATTAGAAGACCCTATAACTGACAGTTTATTTGGTTTGATAACGTAATATAAGAAATACAATTGAATTTCACGAACAAACAGTTTAGTGAGATACATGTTTATTTTGCATTTTGTAGTTAATCACATTATTTTTCAGCAATTGGTCAATGTTATCTGATAGGTTGTTATTATGATTTTATATCATGGAATCTCACTGACAAAAAAAAGTGTTTCAGGTATTGTTCAGAATATAATGAATTAGCTTTATGAAACTGAATTTAAATTATAAGCAATGATGGGTAGTGGCAAGCAGTGGAATCCAGGACGCGCGTTTCGTCCTGTTTGGGACTCGTCAGCTGGATGTACCTGCATCTCAGTTGATGTTCACTCTGGGACTCGAACCCAATACCGTTCGCTTGAAACTCCACCGCGTTATTCACTTAGCTAGTGAGTCCTGATAGCCACTTGCTTGTGCAATGGGGTGAAGTTTAATTCACTTCGTATTGTTTTACTTGAATATTCCCATTGATGTGTTAGGACTGAAATTGATCAGTCTCTTATTGACATATGTGCATACTGTGCGTATGCATCGATATTGCCTTAATTTACATTTATTTAACATTTTGTCTAAAAGTATTTTTTTAAAAACCTTCCTTTCATTATTTCTAATATAATAGATTGTTTTCCTGTGTTATTTATTCAACACCCTATTTAGTTTTCTTAATAGTATTATCTTAATAGTATTTTAATTTCTATTCGAATATTATTATTCTCCCTTTCAATAGATTCACAGAATAACAAATTTCCTAGATATGGATTGATCTCTCTCTCCCTCTCTCTCTCTCTATACATATATATATATATATATGTAGGGATAGAGTAAAAAGAGGGATACTTCCAACATGAATAATATAAAATGACCAATGAATATTAGATGTTTATTTCTAAATGTTGATTGGTTTATTTAATTTTTATCCTTTCCACAAAAAAAAAGAATTTACCACATTGTTTAATGATGCATTTATTCTAATTTCTTGTATAAAGTTAAATACATGATGGTGTGTTTTACTTTTCCTTCTTTTTCTCTTTTTTCTTTTTCTTCCTCTTCTTCATCATCATCATCATCTTTATATTTTTGACAAAATTAATATGCCCATTTAATCTTAGGGTAACCATTTTTTTTATAGATTGGATATTATTGAAAAGAAGAAACTTACCTTTTTAAACATTAAACCATAATAGAAATTATTACTAAAAGTAATGAATGAAACATTTACTTTATATAATCAAAATTCTGAATATAATCATGAATCAATTCTAAATCAAATTATTTATACTGAAAATAAAAATGGATTCTATGCATCGGAAACAACAATGACTAATTCATTAAATCATCTAAATAATGATCTACAAAATACTGTATTATTCAAATCATGTACAATAAAATCTAATATAAAGGATGTTGATCATGATAGTAAAGATATTTCATTAAATCATTTTAATAATGATTATCCATTAGCTCATTCCTCTCCAAATTCATTTATAAATGGTAAGTGTTAATATATTTTTTTGTTTTGCGAAGGGGGAGAGGAGGGGAGGGACTATTTTATGAGGAAATTTCAATTGTCAACTTTTATTTGTTTTTCATTGATCAGTTCCTTCATTTCATTGAGATTTGTATGTTACTGCACTTGTAAACAAATATAATTGTTGAGATTATAAGTTAATTGAAGCTAGATCATCATGGAAAATCTTGAAGCACTGAATGGCCATTTCGTCCTATTGTGGGACTTCTCAGTGGTGCACTTAGTGGTCTAGAGGTTAAGCGTTCGAGTGCGAGATCGATAGGTCTTGGGTGCAAATCTCGCGAGTCAAGATCGTGGATGTGTACTGTTGAGGAGTCCCATATTAAGGCGAAACAGTTGTCCTATGCTTCCAGGCCTTTCATGGTAATCTAGCTTTAATTGATTCATTATCTCAACTAGTAAAATTACTATAATATCCACAAAAACCTCTTCTGAAATATGATTGTATTGAATTTCATCAAAATTGTTGATTAATTGCTAGTGAATTGCTTATTGTTTTTTAGACAGCAAACAATGTATATGAAGATTATCGTAAGTGACGCTATGTTCTGGAATGGATTATTGATTATATGAACTTCACTTTTACTTAAAAGTTCTCGACTTTTACGTATTTTTCTAGTATTATTTCGGTGGTTTAACCTTGTGTTTATAGTGTTCATGAATCATGGAATAATGACATAAAAGTATATTAAATGAGAGTATAATGATTAAAAAGTCACAAATAATTTTTATCTTTACAGATGGTTAGATTAGTAGAAACTTAGATCATTTAATTCTAGAGGAAATGAATTCCATGTAAAGATATGAGTCGTAAAGTCTTTCTGAAGTCATATAAAATAATGTTATTGTCTGTTATCACTAAAAAACAGTGTTCAATGTGACTAGTTGATACAATTCAGAAAATAAGTACATGTTCTTGTAATTCAGTGTTAGATACATTTATTAATACTAACTGGATGTATGAATCCAAGTAACGAGAGATGGGTTTGTATCAGTGACCCAAGAGTTGAGACTCGATCATTAAAGCTACATATAGAATGTAGATTAACCGAAGTTAATTGGACGAGAAGATAATGAGATGAATGTAGTGACTTCCTACTATGAAAATTCAAGATTTACACGTACAATTGAAGTTTGTTGTACTGTCTAGTCATATCATGTATGTTTTTTCTCCGCATTAACTGGAACATTTCAAATGAATACAGTACAAGTATATTAAGTTCATTTTCTTAAATAAGAACCAGAAATAATTAATTTGAGTAAAAGATGATATATATCTTAGCTTAGGAACGTAGAGAAATTGATGTTTGACACTGCATGTACTGGATTAGTCTCCAAGCTAACGATAATGTTGGGATCCAAGTATACCCAGCTGACGAATCTCAAATAGGGTGAATTGTACAACCTAGGTTCTGATGCTTTAATAAAGACATGAATGAGTTGGTTGCTGAAACATTTGCTGTTATACATTTCAGTATTTTTTAGAGCACATCTATTGTTTGGTGTTTTATATAAATCTCTCAGAACTGAGACTCGATCGTTTGTAACGAAGTTCACAAGAATAATCAAAAATATATTTGAAGGTTAGTGTCTGATTAGAGAATAAACTGAATTTAAGTTTGCGGATTAATTTAATAGTTGAAGTCATGAGTCATTTAAAGCTAGACCACCATGGAAAACCTGGAAGCACTGGACAGCCGTTTCGACTTATTGGTCTAGACCGACAGACCCTGGGTTCGAATATCGCGAGACAGGATCGTGAATGAGTACTGCTGAGGAGTTTCATATTGGGATGAGGTTCAAACCCAAAACCTACCAGTCTCGTATGCGAGCGCCTGACCTCTCATACTAGGATGAAACAGCTGTCCAGTGCTTTCAGTTTTTCCATGATGGTCTATCTTTAATTGACTCATTAATCCAACTATTAAATTACTACAATATCCACAAAACCCCTCTCTGTTTACGAATTAAGTATTCTAGTTAAGGACAGCAGTTTATAGAGTATGTATTGAATATAATTTTTAGCGTGACTTATGTAAAATTTACTAACCAAATCACTCATCAACATTTTGTCAAGTTAGATATCATATTTAGGCATTATCTAATTACATTTTCTAATCACTAATAAAAATCAGTTGATGAAGTAAGCTATAATCAAATAATTTAATAGTTGAGTTCATGAGTGAATAAAAACTAGATCATCATGGAAAACCTGGAAGCACTGAACAGCCGTTTCGTCCTACTGTTGGACTCTTCAGTATTCAGCATCCATGATCAAATTGCTTATTTAATTCATGTTTCTTATGAAACTATTAGATTATACATATTCTTTCATAACTTTTAATACAATGAAAAACAAAACAAGCCAAAAATGTTCATTTTTAATTTGAAATCAAAATAAATTAGATATTCAGTTCACACTTAGTTTCTATGGTTTAATTGTTATGATTCCCTACTAATGATAAGAATAAAAATGATTTAAGAATTACTTTTACAATGAATTAGTATCAATTTTTGTTAAAAAGAAATCATTGAAAACTATGAACTAGTGAATATAACTTTAAAGAATAGTAAATTTCTGCAACGAATAGAAATAATTATGTTTATTTTTCTGGTTAGGGTATTTTAGCGAGTTAGTTTTCTACGGGATGGGTTTGCTAAACTCCATACTCAACCCTTCTGTTTTATCCAGGCTTGGAATATTCAAAAAAATATGTATGTGAAATATTGTTAACCAGTGATTAGCTTCTATTTATACTTATCCGTTTATGGTTTAAGGCTAGTTTTGTTCTCATAGCATCTATTATTATCGCCTAATATATTTCATGAACAAACCTTTTGTTTGTTCAAAGAACAGAGAGAATAGAAAGTACACAAACTACCATTGTGATTCACTTGGTGTTGTTTTTACTTGTACCTTCCAATTGTCATTTAGGACTTCAATTGATCAGTTTCATGTTGACATATGTGCAACCTGTGCGGATTGCCTCGATACAGCATTAAGTCACAAGCTTTTTAAACAAAGATGAACGAGTCCCAAATAAAACGAAACGCGCATCCTTGATTCCACTGCTAGCCACTATACATCTTTATCATTGTGATTGTTCTTGAATTTATTTTGTAATTAGATAGAATATTTACTTTACTTTTTAGAACAGTATAAAAATACACTACGTGGTATATTAAGCTTATATCTATGTATGTTTTCTTTCTGTTTAAATTGAAGAAATTAAGCATGATATCAAGATGAAAACAGAATTAAGGAGAGATGGTGAAATTTTGATGAGTATAGAAGGAATAAAGAAAAAAATGTTTTGACGGGAAAAAAACACAACTAAATTGATCAAATTGATTACAGCGTTTGTACATAGGACATGAATAGTAGAATGAATAGCTATGTTAAACATTCTATTTATTATAAATCTTATTCATGTAAATGCTCATCAATTCGTTTTTATGTATGTCGTATATAAGTTGAACATGTTAAATTTCATGTTTGTTTCTAATTAATCTTAATGTCTTGCAGAAATAATTGGTCAGTAGTGAGAGGATTCAACTATTAGTTTCAAATGTCATACTGTTTATTTTGGCTTCAGTTGTCAGATAGAGTTGCTAAATTATGCAAGAAAATGTATGACTTCAAATAGAATGTACGAATTTATACTTGGTTCATTAATTTATTAGAATTTAGTTTTCTTTCATATGACCTGACCATCTGAAAGGTGAATGTAATTTTCAAATATCTTATGAAAGTAATAACATTTGTTCTCTACCTAGAAACAGATATTTACTGTTAGCTAGGTAAAATGAAATTTTAAAAAAAACAATTAATCAACAATAAATGAGATCTGAAGATTTATATCAGATGGGTACTGTGGAGATTGTAGTAATTTCAATGGTCAAGATCATGAGTCAATTGAAGCTAGACCAGCATGGAAAACTTGGAAGCACTGGACAGCCGTTTCGTTCTATTATGGGACTCCTCAGCAGTGTGCATCTGAAGATTTGTTTGGTTAAAGTATATTCTGAAGATTTCTAATATCTTCATGTTCTTGTTTGAGTCTTCCAATTTACAGTTTTCAATAGTCAGTATTAACTTACAGATCCAATTACAACATTTACAAATGAAAAGTGTACAAATATAAATCATAAAAAATTAATCATCGATTGTCACTAGATTTATCCGTGAAAAGTAATGAAAATTAGTGTTTGTCTCCTGGTTTAGTATCAGTGTTTTCAACGAGTTTGTTTATAAGTATTACTGTGAATCTTTGTGAACAATAGGAGGGGGGGGTTGATAATAGTAATTTTGAAGTACTCCACCTCATAAGCATGAAATATGTTTTTTTATGATGTGATTTTAAAATACTTAAAAAATAAACATGAAGTGTAAAGTGATGTAAGGATTCTATACAAATGTAATTACTTATAGGTGAAGGGACATTTATGTCGAAATGGTAGCTAACATTTAGATAAAAGAGACTGAAAACGATAGACCTGAATGATATATATATATATCGATTAACTTTGAAATCGACATGTAATACGCTGTTAGATTTGTACACGTCAGATAATTACCCCTAGTCGAACACTTAGTAAAACTGATAATCTTATGTATATTATTGAACACAAATCCTTTTAATGTTGTTATATCATTATGGAAAATATTTCTTCTAGTAAAGGATGAATGGGTTCCGATAAATTAATATGGCTAAATGAAATATACCAACTAAAATAAGCCTGTTAATCTATTAGACAAATATTGAACTCATATTTCTGTGCTGTGATCGGATAGTATTCTACTTAAGCCAGTTATACTTATATATGTAGTATATACCAAAAAGTGTATGATCATAGGTCAATATTTAAGTCATTGGGATCGTAAAGTAGAAATTGAGTGAATCATATGTTTTATCAGATGCTTAAACTCATGTCACCCATTGATATATTCAGATATGCTAAC